CCCCTCCCGGTCTCCGCAGCACCTGTTCGCCTCCTCCCTGTGCCACGCGTGGGCGGCGCCCAAACAAAAACCTCCGGTCGGGCTGGAAAGTAAAAAGTGCCTTCGGTGCGGAGTCAGAGCAGCAGCGCAGCCCGAGCAGGCCATGTCGCTCAGACCCTGCAGGAACGTGTCAGAAACGAGGAGGTGCGAGCAAAGAGCTCAGTCAAGCTGCTATAAAGCACAAACATCTTAGAACAGGGGGTCTCCAGCTTCAGTCCCCTGCAGGCTACAATCCGGTGCTGAGTAAGTTTCTTTAAATCACCCAAGGACCATTTTACACTACCAGATGTTCATGGTTTGTCAAAAGCCTGTTGGATTGTGGTCTGTGTGTGCCAGGCCCTGGCTGCATGAAACACCTTGAGTACATCAGTTTTGAACGTGCAAACTGTTGCCCTGCACTGTGTTACTGACTTGCAGGTGTTATGCTGCCTTCTGTTACACCAGCACTGCATAACTCCAGTGCTAGAGTGCTGTAAGACCAGCAGGCTTATACGTCTCTGTAGCACATGAAGAAATAGAGAGAGGTATTAAATTGGTCTAGTTCAGGTCGTTCAAAATCCATTCGTCAGTGAAGAGCTGTGCTGCAATGAAAACCTACAGACACTGCAGTCTCACAAGTTGTCTGTGTGACACCTTGACACTCAAAGAAACACAAAGGGGAAATTCAACTTAATTTGCCTCAAGCTTGGCAACAGGCCCACGGACCTGGTTTGGAGGACAGGATCTCCCAGAATTCTGATGAATCTCTACTGACCATCCCAGAGGACCTTGGTATGCCTGTTTCATTTCAGATTTCTGTCATGTGCCTTGTCGACACCACTGCTGCGAGGGTTCAACAAACAAAACGTTCTGTCTCATCGGATTCAGAGGAAAGCGGATGAATGACATTTCTCACAATTAAGAGGAAGCTTTTATCATAAGTCAAAAATGAAGGATTGATATGGCCCAGTGATTTTCTTTACCACTGCAAGAGTTGGAATAATGGGTTTATAACCCCTGTGAAAGCTAGTGAATTAAAATATGTC